ACGACGATCTCGTGGGACATCTGATACGCAACCTATGCAATGGCGGAAGAGAAGCATATTTTTCACTCTTCCTTATTGGGAATCTAATTTGCTACGACACAGTTTGGATGTTATGCACATTGAAAAAAATGTGTGCGATAATGTGCTATATACGTTGCTCAATGAAGCTGGAAAGTCCAAAGACCATCTCGCAGCTAGAAAAGATTTACGGGCCTGGGGAATTCGTGAAGAGGCTTGGCCTGATGAAAACGACAAGTTTCAGCCAGCTAAATTCACCTTGACAAAGCATAACAAGGATATCTTCCTCTCGACGTTGAAGAACATAAAAGTACCAGATGGATATTCTAGCAACATCTCAAGGTGTATCGATCTGCAGGCTCGAAAGGTTACTGGGTTGAAAAGTCATGACTCTCATGTTCTTATGCAACAGTTACTTCCATTGGCCTTGAAAAACACACTTCCTTCTGATGTATCGGTGGTTTTGGTAGAATTATGTTCATTTTTCAAGAAGTTGTGTGCGAAGGTCTTGGTAGCGGAAGAGCTTGATCAGCTGCAAAATAAAATTATTCTTACACTTTGTCACTTGGAGATGATATTTCCTCCATCATTCTTTACTGTTATGGTTCACTTGACTGTCCACCTTGTTCGAGAAGCAAAGGTTGCTGGCCCAGTTCACTATCGATGGATGTACCCTATAGAGAGGTACTAGATTATCTTTTATTCCCGCCTCTTTAAATTTCACATTGTTCTTTCATTTACTCGTAATTATTAATGCAATTTTAACTTACAGGTACTTGGGAAAATTAAAATCATATGTTAGGAATAAGGCATGGCCTGAGGGGTCAATAGCAGAAGGTTATTCCGGAGATGAGGTCCTAACTTTCTGTTCGAGGTACTTTGATGACATGGAGACATCTTTTAACCGCCCGCGTCGCGTAGATGATTCTCCTCCTGGTCCTTCCACGTCAACTTTATTTCCTCCTGTTGGGAAACCAGTTGGAGGATATGAATTCTTCAGACTCACTCCTACAGAGAAACTCCAGGCACACAGACACGTTTTGATAAATTGCAGCCAAGTTGAACCCTTCATGCAGTAAGTATATATATCATATAAGCTCACTAGCTTTTACACTTTATATTTGTTTCTTACTGACTCTTCTAACAAATTACACTTTACTATAGTGAGTTTAGGAGTTATCTCAGGCGTCAGCTACGGGGCCGTGCGCGTTCTGCTGACATTGATAAAAGAGTCCACAAAGAGTTTCCCAGTTGGTTTACACGTCGAATACGTAATGACAACAACCCATACACAGATGAATTCAAAGCTCTTTCTCTCGGTCCGTTAGACCATGCACGAAGGTTTACCGCGTACAATGTCAACGGCTTCAAGTTCTGTACGGTTGGACGTGATCAGGGATTGCTCACACAAAACTCTGGAGTTTGCGGGACATTCGGAACGAGATGTTATGCTAGCAGTAGTGATGGCGATATGCGCTTTGGAGGCGTCACTTACTATGGAAAGCTAATTGACATTATTGAGTTGAGTTACCAGCTTTTCACCGTGACACTGTTCAAGTGCTCCTGGGCAAATACGACAACTTCACGGGGACTCGCTACTGACCATTTGGGCATCACCTCAGTTAATTTCTCTAGACTTATTCATACGGGGCATCTGAAGATGATGAGCCATATATCCTTGCTTCTGAGGCACACCAAATTTACTATGTCGAGGACGAGAAACATAAAGACTGGAATATGGTCGTTCACCTCAAGCCACGGGATCTTTATGATATGGGTGATGGTGACATTATTTACGACAGTGAACCCTTCCAACCCTCGAATTTTGAAGACTTCTTTCCTCAAGGAGATGATAATTTGCCAATTATCAGGTACACGTCTTTTCTTAAATTATTTAAATAATTAACTACTAATTACTAATTTTTTCCAAATACATTATAAATTTAACAAATTTTTTTAAAATGTGTCCTTTCAGGCCGGATGATGATGGAGAATAGCAGCATCCAAAATAAATTATTAAAAAAATTTTCCGTCCATAAATACATATGTATAAATTAAAATTCGTATAGTCTTTTTAAAAATAAAAAAAGTTTAATTTGTAGCGGTTAAATAACCGCTACAAATTTATTTTACAAAATTATAATTTGTAGCGGTTATTAACCGCTACAAATACATATCTATAAATTAAAATTCGTTCAGATATTTAAAAATAAAAAAAAAATTTGTAGCGGTTAATAACTGCTACAAATATATATCTATAAATTAAAATTCGTTCAGCTTTTTAAAAATAAAAAAAATTAAATTTGTAGCGGTTAATAACCGCTACAAAATACAAATTCGTTCAGCTTTTTAAAAATAAAAAAAATTAAATTTGTAGCGGTTAATAACCGCTACAAATAAAACCGCTACAAAATACTAGCGGTTATATATACGCTAGAAAATGAATAACAGCTACAAAATGCAATGAAACGCTACAAAATCACCGCTACAAATGTGTCGCTGATCTCTATAAATACCATATCTTCTCTACATTTATTTACTCCATCTCTTTTCTTTCCTCTCCTATTCTTCTTCATAATTCTCTCTTTTTTTCTTACTATCTCATATAGTGGTTTCTTTCTCTTTACTGTATGGTAAGTGAATTTTATTTTATAATTCATTGTATCTTTTATTTGTTTTTATTTAAAATTTACTAACATATTTATTTCTCCTTTTCTTTCAGATTTTTCTTCTCCACACTTGTCATGCCCTCCTCAACTGATTCAAATACTCCTCAACCTAACACTATAGGTTCAATATTACAAAATATATCATCTTCAATTCAACTATCTTATTAAATATTCAATTAAATTATCTTATTAAACTAAATTCACTTCTTTTGACACATTCATAATTTAATTACATATTGTTTATTACAAAATTTAAATATATAAAATGTAACATATAACTAATTATACAAATTAACAAAAATTCTTCAACATAATTTATTTAATGGTTTTTAAAATTATTATATGAAAAACCAAAATTTTTTTTTCTGGCATGGTAAACATTTCTAGCGGTTCCAAACCACTAGAAATATTTCGTCAAATTTAAATTTTGCGCCAAAATTTCTAGCGGTTCAAACCGCTAGAAAATTTTTTTGCCGCCATTCCAGAAATTTAATTGGCGGGAAAATTTAATTTTCCAAACATTTCTAGCGGTTCTCTAACCGCTAGAAATTTCCGCGCACTACTGAAATTATTTACTTCCCGGCAAAATTGATTTGGTTTAGCATGTTTCTAGCGGTTATAAAACTGCTAGAAATTTTATTCCGGGCACATTTTCTAGCGGCTTTATAACCGCTAGAAATGTTTTTCCTTTATATATTTTCTAGCCGTTATAAACCGCTAGAAAGTTTCTAGCGTTTTGACCATAATGTGTAGCGGTTGCCATAACCGCTAGAAATTTTTTCTTGCGCCTGTTTTTCTAGCGGTTTTGTTAACCGCTACAAATGTTATTTGTTGCGGTTAAAACCGCTAGAAATTTATCACTCTAACCGCTACAATTGACATATTTTTTTGTAGTGATATATATCATATTTAAGGATAAACAAGGTGCCCTTCATCCCTCAATTATCTAATCCCATTGAAATAAATTTAATTAAAATCCAACTTCACTAATTTTGCACCCATGGCCGAGACACACAAACAATTATACATATATAATTGCACCACTTGATTTTATCTCATTTCCAAGCTAACCTAATCTCTAGGATTCCTAGGTCACTTAATTAACTTAATCCTCCTTCTAAGCTCTAAAATAACTTTCAATACAACATTTTGAAACATCAACAATCTATCCAATCATATTTTCCTAACTTATCTTCTTTGGCCACCAAACATTTACTAAATTTAATTCTAACCTCCATTATTCAATCTCTAAAGCTCCCCTCAATTCCACTCAAAATTTCAGCTTTTATTTTTTTAAAAATGTTCTAGACAACAACAATCAAAGGTTCTGAAATTTAAGGCACTGATATACCATCCCCATAATAAAAGCCAAATGAAATGCCCCTGAAATAAAAGGTTACAATTTTCGGATAGTATAACAGAGTCAAAATCATCCTCCAAAACATCACACAGCACCATCTAATCTTCACATATCTAAACATCACTTGCATCATACCATTCCCCTACCACATGAGCACTCTCGCTTCTTCACAAAATTTGAACAGCATCATTCATTTAATCTGGAATTTTCCAGATTTGAAATATATTCTCCAAAAATTCAAAACTCAACATGTAATCATCCGATAGCCATCTACACAACCATGATCCATCTATATTACACACTTTTAAATATTTATACTATCTTTAACATTTTCATCAGAAAACACAACGCTATACCCATCAAAACAGGGAGCTTTAGGTTCAGCCAATACTCTTCCTTCACCATCCCTAACATGAAAGCCATTAAACAAACATCACAATTCCTATTTCACCGTTCTATGTTGTTTCTCATACGTGACTAATGGTTTCTTCACTTTCTATTAAATTTTCGAATGACAGCTTCCCTTGAATATGAAGTTTTTCAGATTTTAAAATGTTATTTTAAGCATCATAAATCAAAACCATTCAAGCCCAAAAGTCCCATTTCAATTTCTCTTCTTCTTTTTTAACCAAAATTCCAGATTCAATAGTTCTCCCAATTCTGACATCTACAAGCATTAAAATTAAATAATTTCATCAAACTAAATCCTCTCTACTTCCATAACCCGAAACCATTTAACTATGTGCGTGTGTGTATATATCTATATATGTATCACTTTTCACTTCCAATCTGATTTTAGCTTCCAAACTCAGTCCTCGCGGCATACACACATAAGCATAAGCATGTGTATCTATATCTCTCTCTCTAATCTAATTTCAGATCCACTTCAAACACACGAGTTATCATTTATACACACACACACACACCCAGAAACATACTCTCCCATTTATAATGGCAAGTATCACAAAGAAGGGGTTGAGGGATACAAGGAATTTCAGAAAATGATTTATGCAATACAGAAGAGATAGAATGGGAAATGTGACCCAATCGAAGGTGCCAAAGGGTGTGACCTGAATCAGAGGAAGTAGCAGCAACATGAACTTGGGAGGTGGATTGAGGTAATGACATATCTGCATCAAGAATGTATAGCCCTTCAAGTAGTTTAGCTGAACCAATCATCAGAAAAGGATTGAGTAAGAGTATCTGGCACCAAGAGCGAGAAAACATGAGAAAGCAGTTGAGACTCAAAGTTAGACAGGAGACAGAAATGATGTTAAAGGAAAAATTTGGAAGGAACAGAACATTAGTCAAAACCAGATTATGAGATATAGTAACCGTGCCAGATATGGTAGAGATAGCATGAGAACCTGTAGGTAAGCTTACTTTGACAGGGGAAATTGAGTGGTAAGAGGAAAATAAAGCTAAAGAACTACAAACGTGATCAGTAGCACCTGAATCAATGATCCAAGTAACAAGAGTAGTGGTAGAAATAGAATTACATTTACCTGAAGATGGTATAGGAGAGGAGGTGATGTGATTAATTGAAGAAGGTGTCTGAGGCGAGGCAAGAAGACTGAGGAGGCGTTGATATTGTTCAGACGAAAGTTGAGGGAGAACTGAAGCTGTGGAGACAGTTGTTAATGGAGGAGTGGGGAGCAGGGGAGGCTTTGCAGTGGAATTTGCTTGAACAATACCAGAGTCTGGAACTGTAAGATTGTTCACCGCAGCAGAAGACCGAAATTTAAAGCCAGGGGGAAATCCGTGTTTCCTATAACAAGTCTCTTCAGTGTGTCGAGGCTTTCCACAGTATGAACACTGTTTAGAGAGACCATTATTCGGTTTGGCAGAGCGAGGTGGACCTTTGGCCAATAAAACCGTAGGAGTGGAGGGAACAGAGAGATGAAGTTCCCGTTCTTGTTGCAAAACAAGAGAGAAAACACGGTTAATAGGCGGAAGCGGATCAAGGAGCATGATCTGAGACTTGACAGAGGCGTACTGCTCGTTCAATCCTCTCAAAAACCGAATCACATAGTCCTTTTCTATATGAGCTTGAGCACTATCAGTAGATCCACAAGAACATGCTTTGATTGGATGAATATTTGAGAGTTCGTCCCACAAAATTTTCAACTGAGTATAATACTCACTAACAGTTAAAGAACCTTGTCGCAAACTATAAATTTCTTCCTGAATTTCAGCAATGCGGAAGATATCAGATTGGGAGTACCTTGATTGCAGATCTTTCCAAATCTCTGAAGCACTATCAAGCCAGAGAATGCTCTTTGCGATTGTTGGAGTGAGCGACTTGGTTAACCAGCCTTGCACAAGATTGTTGCACCGCTCCCATGCCGGAAAAAAATTGTCGGTGGATGAGGGACGAGAAAGAGTACCGTCGACGAACTTGAGCTTATTTTTTGATAACAGGGCCATCCGCATAGCGCGAGACCAGCCATGGTAGTTTGATCCATCGAGAGGAGGAGAGACAAGAACGAGAGCAGGATTCTCGTTGGGGTGAATATAGTATGGACTGGATTGGTCAATAGGAAAATCGGAAGACGCAGACGACGCCATGGAAGAAGCTTGGAGAATATCGAAGAAAGAAGAAAGAAAAGAGGAAGCGGAGAAAACGAGGACCTGAAGGTTAAAGTGAAGAGAGAGAAAAAGAAAGTGGAAAAGTCAAAAGGCTCTGGATACCATGTGACCGTATGTGGAAAAATGATGAGATTATTTTCATTAATGAGAAAAGGGGATATATATACAATAGAGGTCCGGTGAAATACATAATAGAAAGCCTAACTGAATTACATTGAGAAATAATATAACTTAACAGAAGTTACACTATACTTGACACCAAAGCTTGCAGAAACCATCAACCCCTGTTCGGCCATTAACAAAACAGACCCAAAAAATCCACATGCTACCAGATTTATCAACATGCAACACCACATTTTAACCGTACAAGCTTTAATCTTCACCCCTCCTTACTTATTTTATCCGTTTCCCTCGCTTTCTCTCACTAATTCCAAACTTCTTTCATCATCAACTTCCTATTTAGCCACCAAAAACAGAAAACAAGCATGGAAGAGGGATTAGGAGGCTCACCTTGCTTGATTAATTGGTTTGCATGTAACAAATGAACCTCCGATCACTCTCTTCTCCTTCTCCTCGGTGCCTTTCGTCTCTCTCTCTCAGATTTCAATCTCCAAATGAAGAAAGAAGGAGCTGCTGGTTTGAATCAAATAGGAAGGCTCGAAATGTCCATTATACCCTTCAACAAGTTTTTGTCTTCACTTTCATCTTTTTATTTTTTATTTTTCTGTAATTGTAAAATAAACCCAGAAATTAATTCACAATATTCTCTATGGATTTTTCTTATCCAGTAGTTTCCTTAACGCCTAAAATAATTTTCATAAAAGTTTTGGATAAAAAATTAATTCCCAACTATTTTTCTTAAATTTTCTAAAAAACACTACAAGAAAATAGAGAGTTAGCAGCGGAACATTTCTAGCGGTTCAAAAAAACCACTAGAAATTTCAGCATTTCTAGCGGTTTCAAGAAAAACCGTTAGAAATTAGCATCGCTTTAACCATACATAGTGTGGGGCCGCAACTTTCTAGCGGTTATACCCTAACCGCTAGAAACTCACAGCTAGAACCCTTCCCTTCTAGCGGTTTAGGTCAACAAACTGCTAGAGTCTTGTAATTCTCTAGCGGTTCCACAAACCACTAGTAATGGTCTAAGAATTTGTAGCGGTTTTGACTAAAACCGCTAGAAAATATTTTATGACCATTGCATTTTCTAGCGGTTTTCTTCAAAACCGCTATAAATTTCTAGCGGTTATTACAGAACCCGCTAGAAAATTTGAAATTTCCCGAGCTGCCCTATATGTGGAGGTGAACCGTTGGCCATTTGTAACGGTTTTGCCGACAACCGCTAGAAATTTCTAGCGGTTTTGCCGACAATCGCTAGAAATTTCTAGCTGTTTTGCAGGAACCGCTAGAAATTCGCTGCCTATATATACCCCCGCCGTCATTTTCACTGTTTCAGTCGTTTATGAAGCGAAGCTCTGCTGAATTCTCTCCACAAAACATATCCGAGTTCTGATTCAGTTGCAGATCCTTATTTTCAGGTAGAAGTAGTAATTTATTTATAAATAATTTTTATTCTTATTTTTATTTAATTTATTATATTTTTGCTTATAAATAATTTATCTTTTTATTTTATTTATAAATAATTACTATTTGTTGTTATTAGGATGAGTCGTCAGCCAGGGAAGGAGCCAGCTGATCCTGAGAGGGCTGGACCCAGTGAGGATCGCCGTGATAGTGGTCATGATGCTGGTGGGCCATTTCTCAGTATTCATGACTACGATCTCAGCGAGGAGGATATACTCAATTTTATGGAGCAGGACGATGTTGAATGGACTGAGGAGGCTCATTTTACTGGGGATGAATAACCCCATGCTGATGATTATGCTGCTGAGGAGGAGCAGGTTTAGGGGAATGAGAATCCCCAGGCTACGCAGCGTCCTGCTCCCAGACGTCAGACCGGTTTTGAGGTGGAATTTGTGGGTAAGTATTTATTTAACTTTTTAAAATTTGACAACTATTTAATTTATATAGGAAGTGTTTTAATTCATTGATATATAATTTATTTCTTAATTAAATTTTGCAGACTCTGAGGGGAACAGGTCCTATAGGAGGTCGACAGCCAGAAAGCTGTCTATGATGACGAGCGGACGGGTGGTTGTGTCGCTCAATGAGTTGGGCCAACCGACAAAGAAAGGTGGCCAGTTGTACAACCAGTATGTGTGCCTCCTTGGTCAGCAGTGGACGCTGTTCCCCATCTACGTGCAGGACTGGAAGATCACCTCAGAGAAGAAGCAGCAAGGTTGGGAAATGATGAAGATAATATAAAATTGTTATTTCTAATTTTTTAATTTAAATAAATGATTATATATTTTGTTTTCAAATAATTTAATTGTTTGATTATAATTTTTATTTATTTAATTTGTTTTTTATTTATAATATTTTAAAAATAATTAAATGAATATATATATTTTTTATTTAAATTATTTTATTGTTTGAAAATAATTTGTTATTGATTTCATTAATTTATTACTTATAATAATTTTAAATTAGTTGAGTAAAAATATATTTTCATTTAAATTACTCAATTGTTTAATTATGATTTGTTATTGAATAATTTATATTTCATTTATAATATTTTTAAGTTAGTTAAAAAAATATATATTTTTATTGAAATTGCTTAATTGTTTGTTTATAATTTGTTATTTAGTTAATTTATTATTTTATTTACTGAGTAAGTTTATTCTGAGAGAGGAGTTGAGGGCCGACACGATCAAGAGGCTTGGAGTGGCATGGAAGAACAGGAGGGCCGACCTGTGGAGGGACAAGAAAGGTGACGGGACGAGGCCCCTGCAAGAGATATTTGCAGATGTACCTGGTGGAGTCCTGGAGCAAGACTAGTCCAGTTACGTCTATTTTAGGATGACGGCTGACCAGATGATATGATAATATTGTATTAATTATAATTTATTTATTTTTTGTTCAACTTGACTAATTTAATTTAATTTTTTTACATTTTGCTTCAGGCTCTTTCCCGGAGAAATGCTGTGAGCGTCAGGCATCAGACGATACGTCATAGGGCTGGATCCAGGAGCTTTGCGATCACCTATGACGAGATTGTGAGTACTTGAAATAAATTTGTTAAATATGTATATGTATTTAATTTGTAACTAATTATTTCTTTCATTTCATTTAAAGAGGGAAAAGATACGGCAGGAGCGGGGATACATGGCCACTTATGGCGAGATGTAGCCGATGGTGTATAGACCTCGAGACGGGCGTGCATCGGATGAGGTTGAGGAGATAGTGGTAAGTAATAAGTTAAATATTAACATAATATCACAGTGTAAATATCATTTTATTCTAATTAACTTCTTTACATTAATTTTGGTAGGCACGGATAACTTAGGTCGATACCAAGTTGCGTGAGTCTCAGGGGTCTGCCTTGGATTCCACCGCCTCGCTTTTAGCGGGTCGTGGCCGGCCGCAGCACCCTGGTCAAGTTAGCGGGCTTGGACTTGGACCTACACCGACTAGGTTGTCCCGCTCAAGTGGCGCTGGCCCTTCATATACTGCCGGGAGCTCTCAGGCAAGTGCGAGAGCAAAGCGACTGGGTTCCTCATCCTCAGAGGAGTTGTGAGAGGAGCTCAGACAAGAGTTAAAGGCCAGCATCGAGGCCAGGGTGGAGGCTAGGATCGAGGAGCGTGATCGTCAGTTGCAGGAGCGTGATGCTCAGTTCCAGTTGCAGCTTGACCAGCTCTTGGCAGCTGCTACGGCTATGCGTCATGTGGTGATCCGTATGGCTCCAAACATCGCGATTCCTGAGATCCCCGACATACACCTGCCACCAGTCCCGCCCCTACCCCCCCATCAGCCAGTCCGGTCCCAGCACGTTGAGCGGCCTACCCACCCCCAGCAGGAGGATCCAGCGGAGGACGATCACGATGATGCTGCTTCTGCCCTCACCATGATTTTTCCTGTTTTCATTGTATAGGATTTTATTTGAATTTTGATTTTATGATTTTATATTCTATTTAGATATTTATTTAAATTTATATTTATTTGTTTACTTTATTTATTTATTTCTATAATTTTATTTATGTCAAGTACTAATTAACATTGAAATATTTATTAATTTATTACTATATAAACATTAAAATTTATTAAACATGTTAATTAATTAAAATATTTCTACAATTTATTTCTATAAATTAAATATTTCTATAATTATTTATTAATTTAATAATATTTATAAATATTAATAATTTCTTAATAATTTTGTTTATATCATGTGTTAATTAATACATTATACTAAAAATGTTATTAATTATTGCGTAGTATTTAAAATACTTTAGAATCTTTAATAATAAAAATATTACCATTTCTAGCGGTTACCAAACCGCTACAAAACTAAAGTGGGAAGCATTTTCTAGCGGTCTATAACGCTAGAAAATTCAAGCGAAATTCAAATTTCCCTCCTCAAATTCTAGCGGATTATTCATATGCGCTAGAAAATTAAGAAAATTGTAGCGGTTCCTAACCGCTAGAAATTTTATAACCATTGTCACATTGAATTTGTAGCGGTTTAACCGCTAGAAATCAAAATTCCGTTAAAACTCTAGAAATTTCTAGCGGTTGTAACCGTTACAAAAAATTGACCGTTACACATTCGTTGGCAACCTCCTTTATAAGCTAAAACACTTCAACTGAAATTCATTTTAACTTCTCTTTGAGCTTCCTGTGTCATATGTTCACGAAATTTGAGCGATATTAGTGATGGATCGGTCATGGATCAACTTACATCGGTCATCTCCGCAATACCTAGCTGGTCTAAGCTATTTTTAGATTTTGCTTTGCCAATGCTGCCGTAAATGGTAAGATTCAGTGTCCATGTCCTAAATGTAATTTCAAGAAGTGGCATCCCAAAGATATTGTTAGAGAACATTTGATCTTTAAGCCCTTCCCGTGAGAGTACGTATTTTGGCAACTACATGGGGAACGGCCAGATATGGTTGCTGAGTCAGTTCCAGTAGTTTCACTGATGGGAGTTCGAGTGGATGAAGCCGATGCCATGAACGATGCTGTGCGTG